AAAAAAAAAAAAAAGAGGAAGAAAAGATTTTAAAAAAAAGGTCAAAAACAAACAAACAACAACAATAACAAAAACCCCACAAATTTCCATTATGGAGAATGAGGGAACTAGGAATAAGAATTTTGCAGTGGTTTTATTGGAATATTAAAACAACCCTGGATACCACATTTATTATAAAGAATTCTACTCTTCAGCCCAAAATATAGCGAGATTTTCTTTATTAATTTGCTTTATAGCATTGGCTCAGATTAAAGGATTGAAGATTCTGGCAGGTACATTTTGATGCATGTCTCTGGTATCCTTTTTGTGTAAGATACAACAGAGGCCTCGTAATGCCTAGATGCAGAGCTCTGTGTGTGACTGGAATGTTTCCTGTTTAACAAAGTCTGTTTTATCTAAGTTTTACTGTTCCCATCCTCAAGGCAGCAAATGACCTCGATCATTGTGCTTTCAAGCCAGCCTCAGAAATGATGCCCACGAAGCAGACAGTTAGAGAGCCCCTTCTAGAGAGGGGCTATTAATAGGCTTCAATAGGAAAAGTTCAAACACATGCAGATCAGGAAAAAAGAAAGTGACCCAAATGAAAGGTCTGAGATGTAAGAGGGAATCATGCACAAACACAGTGGTAAATATGCAGGCACATCAGGCAAAATTCAACTGAACAAAATTATTAATAATGTACAAATTGTGGGGTTAAAAGAAGAGAGACTTAAAATACTGGGTAGTATTGGCATAGATATTGGGAAGAAGAAGATCAGAGTAAAAGTATTCTCGGGTTTTTAGATGACTCATGAGGAGAATAAAATTATTAACTTTTGAAATGGTAAAATATTTATGCTATTGTATCTAGGGTAACCAATGAAAAACAGACATAGTATAACTTACAAGCAGAGGGGGAGAAACAGAAAAATAAAAGAACGAAAAACAAACCTCATTGAATCCAAAGTTATTGACAAGCCGGGGAAAATAAAAGAACAGAAAAAGTGGAAAACCAGTACAAAATAAGATGGTAGAATTAAATTCAAATATATCAGTAAGCACAATAAATGAAGTGAGTGACATCCTTCAGTTAAAAGACAAATTGAGTCAGAAAAAAGGCCAGCCATGGTGGATCACGCCTGTAATCCCAGCACTTTGGGAGGCTGAGGTGGGTGGATTGTTTGAGTTCAGGAGTTTGAGGCCCTGTCTCTACAAACAATACAAAAATTAGCTGTGTGTGGCAGTGCATGCTTGTGATCCCAGCTACTCAGGAGGCTGAGGCAGGAGGATCACTTGAGCCCAGGATGTTGAGGCTGCAGTGAGCCGTGAGCATGGCATTGCACTCTGGCGCCTGACAGAGTGAGACCCTGCCTCAAAAGATAAAAAAAAAGAAAAAGATAAAATCTAGCTCTAGGCCATTTATATAACACAAACCTAAATCATAAGGATACAGAAATATTATAATTCAAAGAGAAATAAATGTATATCAAGCAGAGACTAATCTAAAGAAATGTGGTATAGCCATATTAATATCAGACAAAATAGATTATTAGAGAAAAAGGTAAAAAAACAAAAACAAAAAACCCCACATCCACACTGGCAACTACATAGTGATAAAAGTTTTAAATCACCAGAAAAATATGAAAATGTTAAACTTGTTTATACCTAATAATAAAGCAACATTTATCAAACTACAAGAGAAAATTGATAAATTCACCATATTAAAGATGACCTAGTGAAGTAGAAATATATACTATGCTTATGACTACTGTATTCAATATTAAAAAGATGTTAGTGTTCCTCAGTTGATCCACAGATTTGATTAAATTTCAATAAAAATTTCAACAGGAATTTTTTAGAAACTTGGTTCTAAATTTACATGGAAGATTAAAGGGCTAATAATAGCACTCATCTCAAAAAAGAACCAAACACAAAAATTAATTCAAGGTGGATTAAAGACTTAAATGTCAGAGGCATACAACCTT